TACTTTCTATACAAACAAAAAAAATGCTTTCTCTAGCCAAAAACACTAATAACATTTCACTTACCAATCCACTTACCTTCAATTTACCTACCCTTAATAATATAATTCAAAAAGTTAGTATCTCTAATATTGAACGTACTTTTAATACATCTCCACTTCTTTCTAATATAGGTACTACTCGAATTAAATCCTGGCTATCAAAAATCTGGTTTCCTAAACTTACCAAAGAAACACTTCTTTTATATCATCAAAAGATAAAAAATTATACCCTGCTATTCCATCTTACCCAGCTAGCCAAAAACAATATAACAATATCTCTCTCCTCTCAAATTACAACTTATCCCTCTTTTATTACTGAAAATATACACTTAATCTATAACATACTTCCCCCAACTCCCAACAATCTAACAATTAATAGTTTTAAAAATAACAAATTCCTATTTATAGAACAAATAACAATAGCAAATAACAACTTCTTGCTCTCTTAGAACAATATTTATCTTCACACAAGTAAAACTTTCAGAGGCTATCAACCCTCATGGTTTACTCGTTTTCTCTAAATAATACAAACAAACTCTCTTCAAAATACATGGATTTATTACCTTCCAGTTTTTTAAAAAAACTTGTGCGCTTAATTCCATCAGGATATTGTTCATGAAATTTTTCCCAAAGAGCTTCTTTGGTATGTTTTAGATAATGTACTGGTTCATTTGTTGCAGTATCAGTTTTATATGAACTTATAACTACATGTGTTTTATCCATTAAAAATGCATCTAAAGCCTGCTGTTTTTCAACTAAAATTTTTTGGCATGTAATAATTGGCTTATTTAATACAGCACATCCGGAACCATTAAGTCTAGCATGCCTGCGTGCATAGCAAATTGCATCATTAGATACCTATTGGCAAGTATATTTTCATAAATGATTAGTATTAGAATTAGAAATTTATTCATATTAAGAATATTCGAAAACAACTTTAATTAAAGTATTATTTGAGTACTATAATTGAATATAAAGAAGATAATAAATTGGTAAAATGTATATATATATATTTTTTTTAATTCTGTCTAATTAAAATCTTTTACTTATTTTTGAAATTCAAATATTTTTCAAGGTTATTTATCAAAACAATAGAGTTTAGCATGTTGAAATATTAAATCTAAGTTCAACTATAGATGCAGATATTTAGAAGGTCTAAGATAATTACTACTCTACGTTATATAAAATTAGAGCAGTGACGTTCATACGTTGCTGTCTAATTGATGTTCTAATGTCTGCAAAGATATGCAGGAATTAGACCGAAGAATTGAATCTCTGGTTCACTACAGCGTGAAAATAGGTTGCTAACGAATTGGTGTGAAGAGCTCTATTTGAATGGCTTTAGAACTTCCTCAACCTTAGGTTCAACATTCCAACATGCTAAAAATCTATAGTTTTAACAAGCAATATTGTGCTAAAGTAAAATAAGCCTCGCTTAGTTTATTAGAATTATTTTTGTAAAGTTTGAGGTATTTTGCTCAGTTATAATATTTATGCGCATTTATATATTTGAATAAGATAAATAATTACTTACATTTAAATTGGTTTTAATTTCATTATAGGTAAAATTATCAGCAATAAGGGTATAGACATTTATCAGGTGATTTTTTAGGGGGGGAGGGTCAAAAAAATTAAAATTTTATATATAACACCTGATCAATTGTATATTAAGAGCTAGGGGGAGGTAAGTCTCTGATAAAAAAAAATCAGGTGATAAATATTACTACCCTAACCGATAGTATTCGTGTTTTTCCATTAAATTCATGCTTGTTTTTATCTAACGTTTGACGAAAACTTTCCCAAAAAGTTGCGGTATGATTTTTGAAATTAGATGGTATTGGATTTAAAAATCCTTGCTTATACAATAATTCTAAATTAGTTTTGTCGATTTCAGGGTTATGCAATCTTGACCAAAATGTAAACTAAAAATAGTAAAAAGTTCAACATTAATATTAATTAGTAATATAATCAAAAGTTAAGTAATTAGCAAATTATTAAAAATTTTATTTTACTTCTGATTGATCTTTACTAAATGGTGTTATTTCTGTACATCCTACAGCTTTTAACATAGCTTTTCACGCACGTAGTTCTCGATCATTTATTATGTGGTTAAATGGATATAATGTATATAAACTAGTTTGTAATTCTATAATTGTTGAAGTTTCTAATTGCCATTGACTAAACAATTCAAGCCAATTTACATGAGTCAAAATTCTACATTTTAGATGATAATTAAAAACACATTCCATTATTTGACTATTATTCCATTTATCTAACGTTCAGGTGGGTATTTTAATAAACTGAATTAGGTTTTGTGTATAGGGTTCTTCTAACCCAAAAAGTTTTTTCCCATTATATTGTTGTAAACAATTAACTTGGCTCTATAATTGATCAGGATCAATATTAATAAAAGTTTTTGAAACTATCATTTGCTTATTATAAATTGTAAGTTTGCATTCTTCATCATCAAATTCTTCAAAAAAGATGCATCGTTGCTTTTGATACATATATATAAAGGCAGCTTTGTAACCGGCTCCAGCATAGTTCCATTCGCTTTTATTTGACTTTTCTATACCAAGTATCCAAATTCGTAACTTTCCTAAAATAAGTGCATATACTTGAAAGAGAAGATCTTGAATTAAAATGTTAGATATAGTTGGATTATCGAATCCAATTATTGCTGGACCCGAAAATTTCGTTGCAGTATTCATTATTTTTTGATAAACGCTTGATATTGCATTTGTAGGTGACAAAAAAACTTCACTTTGAATGTCATTACATTTACACAAATACCCAGATGCTGGCTCATATTCTGATTCAGATTCAACTATTTCAATTATAAAGTCAAAATTATGAAGTATTATCAAGGTTTTCATATTAAGTTGTATAGGGTAAAGTAAGGTTATATTTTCGGTTTTATTGATTTGTCGTGATAACCACCAATTGTGGCAATAAGGTCCATAGTGCTGTAGTGTAAATTTTGAATAATATAGCCAGCAAAAATTAATGTAACTATATATTCTTTACGTTTTGACATTTCGTATGTATTTGTAATATTGGAATGTTCAGATTCTAAAACTACTCATAAAAATGTAAGTTTATTATCTCCGCATACATATAATATAATCAACTAATTTCACTGATTTACAAATAGATCACGAATTAAATAATATTTAGAGTATCTAAGAGCCAAAAATATATGAAGTATTTGTATTCTTTTATTCAAAAATATTTTTTTTCTCTTAATTTTTGTTGTTTTGATGATCTACGGGAAAGAGTTTTCAATCTCCTATACATATTTTAACCTTCCTACTTACTTTCTTTGAAATAATTATACTATTCTATTTAAAACGTGCACCTTTATTAAGAATGTTATTACAATTCAAGAACTCTTTTCTTGGTCCTCATTAAAATTTTTCAACAACTATACATCTGATATAAACTGGAATCTAACTTTTAAAATACTTAACTCCTTAGAATACGA